AATGAATAACTTTGATGCAGACTCAGAGTTAGACTCAAGTATAAACCGCAGTGACATTACCAATATCCTTATCAGTCTTGATGGACCTCGACTTCGATATAAGGTATATCACTATCATTACTCTCTCATGTTTCTTTTCAGATCATCAGATTCTCAATGTAAAAAGTTAAAACAAAATTTGTTTTTGAAGGATATACCACAGATCAAGAATCCTGTAGTTCGGAAACAACTTGAATCGATGTTGATTAATTACCGGAAAGTTGTCGGAGCTGAGCTCTCGGAGAGAATGGTGTATGAACTCCGGTAACATTAAGCTTCATTCAAATTACATGAGAGCCTTCTGTAACATTGCTTCATTCAGATTACATTCTGTAACATTACTTCATTCAGATTACATGAGAGCCATCTGTAACATTAATAACAATAATAACATAATTCATCTCTCAGATAAAGATAGGTTCAGATTCCTCATACTGGTTGGGAGAAAACCGAAATAAACCAAACCAAATTTAGCCATTTCTGACTAAACTAAGTGAGTTTGATCCGACTTAACGGGAATGTACACTCCTAGTTCATACTCTGTACTTGTTCATCTAATAAAGAACTTTAGAAAAAAAGTAAACTTAAAACAAATATATGATAATGAGAACTTTTAAAATGCAAGTGTTGCACAAGTAGTTGCAACACAAACAATTGATCTCCGAAGGTATCATAATGGAACATGGATGGTTCACAAAATGAAAAGAAGAAAAACATTGAAGAAGAAAGATTAAAGAGCAGGAGAGACTGTACAAATCAGATATGAATATTTAGATCAAGTATCATCATTCATCAGTATCACTTTCTCCGGCTTCAACTTCTTGAGCCACCCAATAAGTGTTCCCATCTGGACCCCAAACCTTGTACCTGTGTCAACAAAATGAAACAAATTCATAATCTCAACTCAAGAAACTGGCAAAAAAATAAACGTCGATTGAGGTTATTCAGGTCATGCTGACCTTTCGAGAACCGATTTGCCTTCCTTGTACTTTTGATTCTTCTCAAAAGCAAACTCCTGAGTATAATAAGAAGAGGTTGATTAGATTAGCAAAGCAAGAGACAAAATGCAGAATACCGAGAAAAGAGAGAAACAGTTTATGTTTTCTCTTACATATCTCCATCCAACATAAGAGCCGCATTTGACACAATAAATATCGACCACGGTGTGCATTCCTGTCATCATCATCCTATCTTCCTTCCCCCCAGCATACACATTCGCTCTGTTCACACACATCTAAAACAAGTGAAAATGCATAGAGCTATTCCTATCCAATCAAAACGCCATTTCAAATGGATAAAAACATTTCTGGTTTCTTCGAATCTGGCTAGCAAAAACTCAAATCAAACTTGAAGAAGAAAACTTACACCTTACTGAAGAGGTAAGCTTTCCCATGCCGCGACTGAAAAGACTGTAAACAACAAGCAAACAACAAGATGTTGTTCAGTATCTTCCATATCCCAAAATACTAAAGACATTGTGAAGCCCGGAGTATAAGAGAATAACAAAGAGACAGTGTAAAGCCAATGTAGAAACCAACTAAGATCACATGTTTTGAAAGAGGAGAGAGAGAGCCTTATAATGTCTTGAACCATAAGCACTAATAGATTGCATTTAACATTAAACCACAACCAAACACAACATATGACCAAGTTTAGACACTAATCAAATCATATGAGAATGCAGGACAGTCTCAAGATCACATACCATACGACTCTAACAAGATGTTTGAAGCATAGATTGATCTAATATCCTACATTGATTAAAAACCGAGAATGCAGGACAGTCTCCAAATCAAGTATCCCCAATTCTCGTAATTGATCAATGTCTCCATGATTGAGAGTTTTGATCATGGAGTTACAGAATATCATCAAAAAGGGCATAGGCGAGGCAATGTAAGTAACACCAATCAGGATACGATATAGATCATCCTACTTACGTAATCATCAGTGAGAAGAAAACCCCAAATGATGATATTGATCAGAAGAGATGAAAATCGCAATAACCCAGATTAAGATTTAGCAGCAAAATCACAAACAAATAAAAAACCCAGAAATCAAAAATTTCAGATTCGAAACCTTAGAGACGACATCATCGCAAAGGGCGAGATTGGTCTTACAGTGTCTACAACTGTAAGACTTCCCTTCCAAATTCACCAAGAACAATCTCCCCATCTGTAAACTATATTCCACAATCTAATCAAATCAAACAGGAATTAACAAAAAAAAAAAGCCGATCTTTATAGCAGAAGCATGAAGAAGAGAGTGATGAAAAAAAGGGAGAGATGATCAATTATAGAAGAAGACGTTCGAAATTTCTGCCGAATTTTTGGATATGAAAACTAGTAAAATGGAGAAAATTCAGAGTGTTTTCTTTTGACGATATTT